TTTCCATAGAAGCCTTTTTTTCATCCACATCCACAACACTGTATACATCTTCTTTGAGAGGCTCAGTGCACTTGGAATTACTTGACGCTACCCCCATATGCCAAGGACAGGGGTGTTTGTGTGTGTGTGTGTGTGTGCGTGTGTGTGTGCACGCGTGAGATCTCTACCTCCCCAGCAGGGAGGACACTGTGGCACAAACAGGCACTACATTGGGCCCTCAAAATCTCAGATTACATTTCCATCATCTCCTGCAATCAGCCCAAAGCTCCACAGATGGGAACTCCTTCCCCGGCCCCAAAGCTGCCGCCCACTTCCTTTTCCCACTGGGACTTTGCACAGGCAGTTCCCTCAGCCAGGCCCGCTGCCCCCACTCCATCCTGTGCAGACATCCACGCCTCTTACAGCCCAGGGCCCTTCCAGGGGAATCTGCTCTGAAACCCCCACCCGCCACAGGCCAAACCACGCAGCACCTTCCACCCTGAATGTCTGTCTTCCCCGTCCTTCCACTCCTACCAGAGGTGACCTCCTCGAGGGAACTTGTGCTGGGTACTCTGTGGACATTTCAAATGAAAACATCTGACGGGGAGGCAGAGACGCCTAAACAACACACACACAGAGAGTATCCTATACGACTGTCTCCTGTAGGCCTTTCATGGCGTCACGTACTCAGTGGGGACACAAACAAGTTTCTGAATGAATGAGATGTTTTCCCCTCAAACCCGGAGGATATGGTGGTGATGGTCTCTGCCTCCGTATTCCTTTTTTAAGCGAATTTAATTCGGTTCTCCTAGGTTTACGTGAAAAGAGTGTCTGTCTTCATCAGGGAACAAAGTCTGTCTTTTCAGGATTGTTCCATCTTTCTTTGAGAAACAAATGCAGGCCTTATGCAGCGGATCAAGGTAGCGACTGTATTTGCCAGGGGACCAGACACGCCGGTGCGTAAGGGAAAAGGAATTTCTCCCGGAGCTGATAATTGCCAACACGTTCAGCAACGCTTGTCTCTTGGGCTTCTGAACAAGACCACAAATGTGAAGGCCGAGGAAATCCGCGAAGCACTGAAACAAGGAGCAAACTATATTGCTATTCGTTAGTTTATTTCCCCTGCTAATGTTTCATGATTGTATTTAGTTCAGCAAGTAGAGTCATGGGGATTCTCAGAAACTGCCTAAGTTTGCATGCCCAGGGACAGAGAGGAGTGGTGGTTGCCAGGGATGTGGGGAGGGGAGGAGGGAACGGGAGGGACTGCTTTAGCGGGTCAGCGTTTCCTTCTGGGCTGAGGAAAGTGTGTGGGAACTAGATCGAGGTGGTGGTTGTACAACATGGTGAATATAGCACTCGATGTCACTACGTTTTCCACTTTCTCAGGGTGGGTGGAGGGGTGGATAAATCTGACACAACCCACAAGCTGAACTGTGGGGACAAACAGTGGATTCCAGACAGCGAGCTCGGTTGCAGAAGCCCAGCCGTGGTGAGAGGCCAGGCTGGCTGCTTTCCCACGCGTGGCTTCAGCCCAGAGAAAGCGTTCAGAGACCAGCCACAGATCTGCACAACAGACGTGCTGAGTACTGCATGGCGTACCCCAGGAAAGTGCGGGGTTCTGCTGGGAACAAGACAGACAGGCCCTGGCCCAGTGATGG